ATTTGACCAAAACAAGTAAGCTATTTTAAAACCGGAAGATGTATGGGAAAAATGTAATGCGGTTTTCTAGCAAGTTCTGTACCGGATGTTCATAGGGTGAACTCATTATTTCTAAAGGGGTGTGTATATTTTACAACGTTGAAAATCAAGACTGAATGTAAATATTTCGATGCAGATATTCACAATTTTATGAAATTTTTACACTTAAAATAAATCAATAGTAGATGTTTTAGATATTGCATTTTCCCTATGAAGTTCACAACATTTACGGATGGTCAACTCAATTCAAACAATAGCTACTCAACAAAATGTGACCCAGAGGGCTGGCACATGTGAAAGCCGCACTGGTGATGACGAGCAAAAAGCGGGATTCTGGAAGGTTCGGAAACAGGCCTAAGTTTCGTCATTCGGGGAATTTTCTGATGGGCAAATACTTTATGCAGCCATGAAAATGATTTCTGCGAATTTTCAGGAAGCGACACAAGTGCAACACTACGGCAATTTTAAGGGTTTTAATTTGTTCACTTTGTTTGTCCAGTTCAAAACGATTGACCCATCGCCAGGGTTGTTGTAGGTCAACTCGACCGTTTGCCAAATCGACTGGAGTCAACTCGACTCCTGACCAACTCGACCGTCGACGAACTCGACCGTTGAACCAACTCGTCCGTTGACCAACTCGACTTCAAAGTTGAGTCAACTCCACCATTCACCAGCTCAATGAACCCACGAAATCAACTGAAATGCAATCAGTAAATGAACTTATGCCGATGAGATACTCCGAAGTAATTTTCCCAATTTGAGAAGAAGCACGCACGTGACGCACGAACCCCCAAAATCTGTCACCGCACTTTGTGCATGCACAGATCACATCACGCACAGTAAAACGAATTACACGCACGATCCAGAACTTGAACTGGTAGGAAAAATGCGTTGCTTCTATGCCCTGTCCCTGTTGCACCGTTTGCATGGTCTAGTTGGTCGAGAGTCGAGTCGTTCGAGAGTCGAGTTGGCAAACGGTCGAGTTAACCTGACAACATCGGCAATAGGCCTACGATGCTATCATCAACCTCCTGAGGGTCACAGTCAGTGGTGTATCCAGCAAATTAAAAGATATAGGACTTCGGGTCTGTGAATAAAGACTTCCGATATTTTTTCTCCACCAACATCATGTCAAATAAGCCCAAAGCCGCATTCTCTTGTGGACACCCCCCACACACACCAAAACCTGGATACGCCTCTGCTGAGGGTTGGCAGGGCCGGTCGCGTTTCAGGCCTGAGTCAGAGAAAATTACACGAACTTCCACAAATGTTAAATTAAATGTTTATAATCAGTGGCATGATGACCGGGAGTTTTGCTGACCGGGCCGGGCCGGGCCGGGCCGGGCACAGTCTTGCTGACTGACTGGTTTTCGATCGGGAGCCTCCGAAGCCAAAGCATTTCAGGCTCAATTTCGATCGAGTCGATAACACAGAAAAACTTCGAACTTTCCTTATCTCAATTTCAATTGAGCAGTCTATGTCAGGGAGTAATTTGGAATAACAGTTCTGTTGGAATTGTTTTGATGTTTGAAACGACATTTTAGGGGCCTTTTCCTTCCGCTGCCTCATCATTTCAAGTACATGTATCTCAGCTTGAGACTGCATTATGTACGGTCCGTGTAGGGTTCATAGTAGAAGCATATCACCTCTACTATTTCGCATCATTTGCATTAGTGCACAGTAATTCGATATTATAAATGTTTTTAATGTGAATCTTAACCTTCAAATTCAGGAGAGGATGCAGGGCGCGTGGGGGCGCACGGCCCCCTTTTTTCACAAAAAAATACTAAAAAAAAGAAAAGAAAGAGGGAAGACTAAGAAAAGACGGGTCATACTGCCTGAAATTGCACCACAGAGTGCCTAGAATCCAAAATTTCCCGGGGCCCCTAAGCGGACCCGGTACCCCGGACCCCACTCCGCGAGGGCTTCGCGCTACGTGCACTCCCCATTCCTGCTTTAGTTCACGCCCCTCCCCCTTTGGAAAATCTTGGATCCGCCCCTGGAACTGGTCTGAAGGACTTGGTTTATCCCTGTTTTTTTTCTATAAATAGAAATGTCTGGTCTTATTTAACTCGGGAATAATAGCTTTTTTGAATTGTGACCTCTTGAGTTGAGAGTGACATTCTTCAGCTCAAAGCAGCTCTGTTTCCACCAAGGTATCAGTTTTGAGGTCAACATTTTAGTTTCCCTCAAAGGTGCGGAAGGTGCCCATATTGAGCAACACAGATGAAGCCAAGGATTTGTGTGACTCCCCAAGCCAAAAGGTAACAGCCAAGTACAAGTCGTCAGGCCGTGCAAAGCTACAGCCACATGCGTCACCAGGAATTTTCTGGGGAGCAAATTTTTCCCGAGGAGGACAAAAACTCATAAGAAACGAACTCGTAGACTAAGGGTGTCATTTTTTTCAATCAAACTGGTGATTTTCATCCCCTGTCATCTCTCCCCTTTTTGCCCCATGTTATGTTTCACTCCCCCCGGGGGAGGCCTCTTTCCGCCCATGGCTGCTACTTGCAAAATGGACTGCACCTATGCAAATTTTCCAAACGGCTTTGAAACACTAGAAGTAGTGACAAGAAGTGGGATATGTGCATGCATTTCCAGAATTCTACATGATTTACAGTTGCATTATTGCATGAGCAGAGAGACTTTTAGTGAAAAAATATACCCTTGCCGAGCACATCTATGGAGGTTTTTGCACAACAGCCATCTTCCTAGTCAGTGCTTTTGTTATGTACGAATGATCTACTCATGTGCATAGTGCTAACTGGTCTGATCGGTGAACATGTACACTCTTGTTACCGAACACTTTGATATTGAGCCTAAAGGATCAAATGAATGCAATACGGCCAGTGACGTGACTGCAGGGGGGGGGTCACGTGCTCCCAATGAGATGCTCGTGCCCCAGGTGCGCCCCCCCCCTTGAAATTTGTGATTACTTGTGGTGCACCCCTGGGTGCCCCCGAACATGTAGCCCTATAGTTACGCCACTGAATACGGCTCATGCAAACAGTGAACTCCCGAGACTCAAGGCCACAGGGATTTAACAAATATCAAAATCAGTCTTGCACATAACAATAGAGGTTATGCATGGCAGCCATCTTCCCGGTCAGTGTTTTGTTCCAGCGGGATACCACTTGAACGAGGGACACCAGCTTAGTGCACTAATCATATGTTCTGACTGGCTCTCAACGGCACCCTGGCCCCTCTCCGCTCCCAATTCCAACCCCACCCTGCCTCCGTCCAACCCCCACCCCGCAAAGTTGCACCCACCCTGCAACCAACTTCTGCCAACCACCGTGCCGCATTTAGCATCAACCCTGGATCATATTATCCTCCGATGTCAACCCGCATCTAGCACCCCGGCATCCTGCATCCAACCCTTATCCCACTTCGTGGAATGATATCGGACGATTCGTATATTTGGTAATTTGTACCAGAAAGAGGGGAAGAGGGTGTGTGTGGGGGGGGGTGACTTGCCGGGCCACCATTGAAGAAGGGGGATGCTGCCACCATATAACGTTATAGGGGTTAAGTTCATGATACAGATGTACATCCGTAATATGTTTTACATTCCTGTGGAATCTTACATCAGAACGGCATATTTATGGCTTTTTAATTTTTTTTTTTGAATTAGTGCCAATTATTTTTCTCGTTGGGAAGTCCGAAAAATTCTTCACAATCCACATTCATTTTTTCCTCACCAGAAAAAAGTGTGTGCGTGTGGGGGGGGGGTGATTCTATAGCCCATTTCCCCCTAATCAAAAGGGGTAGGGGATGATACCCTAGCTCTTCTGGGATTTACGCCCATGGCTTTGGTGAACTTCGGTAACCTCTTTTGTACGTAGAAGCGCAGTGGTACATAAGTTATGCTAAGCGCGCATGCTGTGTGTGAATCAAATATAACCATTACGTCATGGTTGTATGCGGCAATTTCACTTTTTTTAGACCCTGCTCTGAATAAACTTCGATATTGCAATCTCATCGTAAAATGCAATACTCTATACAAAGCTATGGGGGTCCATATTAAAAACCAAGAGCTCGACTACTCTATCTAAAGTAAGTTTTACAAAATGGACACAAAATGAGTAGGTCTGCCCGATCATGCCGATGCTCCTATCCTGTGCTTGCATGTGGAGTCGGGGCCGGGGGGAGCCCGAATGTGACGTCACTCAACATGGCTGCCATGGACATGGCAGAGTGGTCCTTAGTGAAAGATGGAAGGTTATACTTGGGAGAGGAAACCTCTGCTCTCACTTACCACCCGAAGCTGAATACAGTTTTAGCAGTTACTGGAGGCTCTGGTGTACGAGTTGTAGACGTTAACTCTGGTGTGACACTGCAAAATTCAACACTTTCCGGTAAGCACATCGACCATCCCATGGTATGATGACCGTCCATGTCGATATCATATTCTAGCCTACCTGTGTAACGTTAGATTATGAGGCCCTATCCAGTGGGCATGGATCTGGATATGCCTGTACTCTGTAGGATCTGGATCGATAATTTGACAAAACGGATCACTGCAGCACATCAGAGTTGACTTAAAGACTAGGTGCTTGGTGGACTAAATCTATTTGTAATTGGCCCGTATCTCAGGAGTGGCACTAGTATAGTACTGTGGCACGGACTCTTACTCCCGCTCCTTCCTTAGCCACACATCTGCATACACAATTCTATACGCAATTCTTGACAGTGGGACTAGAGTCATACGTACGTAGCCAGCCTAGGCCTAGGCCTACTTTTCTGTAAAGTTTTGGTTGTTCCAGTGCTGTGCAGTGCAGTGGGCATGGTGGGGGGTTGTCCATGGAAAAAAAGGGGATTGTACATAGGCCTAAGTACTACATGTCAAACATGTAGGGCCTATATTTGGGGACCCCGTTGCTATAACAGAACTTAGAAGGGACACCTAGGCTTACATTTAATCTTTCAGATTCACCTTGGTAGATGACTGACATCATGCTCAATGTATGGTTGATGTCGTGAAAAGAGGGCAGGTTTTTAGGGAAATTACCGTAAGAGGAAACTATGAGTGTTTTAACACGTGGCGCATGGTGGATTCAAATTTGAGTGGCTAGTTTATCAGTAAGAAAGTCACATTTTCTCACAATTTAGGGCCTACAATTTCCGAAAATAGGGTCATTGCAATAAAGAGAGTGTTGCCTTTGGTTTTGGGGAGAACTGACCAGTTTTACAAGATTAAAATGACAAAAAGGGAGGGTCCCTGAATATACAATCCGCGAAAAAAGCTGTAATATGTAGACAATTTTGCTAAGATTTCTATTTACACAATATATGTATGATGATCTGTGGTGTCGTCTTGTGATTCTTGTGATTCTTTACATAAATAATCTTCCCACTTTACATGTATATCAATGAAATTGTGGCTCATGTCATGACATCACATCATCATGTGCAGCAATTGTGCGAGTCCATTCATGGCACTCCATGATCCATTCATCCTACTTTTTGTAGAAACCTCATGGGAGTATGCTCTTGGGCATGATGGGTGGGACTTCCTTATGCCATCAGTCAATCCTACATGAAAGCCCTAACTTTCGTGGCTCTTAATACTACACTGTACCTCTATGCAGTCATTAGAACATGATGAAGCAATGAATGTTTTTCCAACCTTGTCAATCCTGGGCCTAGGCCTGCATCATTTTACATGTACATTTCTAATCTTATCTTTGGTAATTATGGCCTAATCCTGAAGAAAAGGCACCCTGCAGGTTTTTGGAATTATTGGCAAATCATGCAGTAAAATCGACAGATTGTGGAAAAATCAAGCAATCATGATTCAATCAAGCAGATCAACCACTCATGCCCAGTCCTGTGCGATGTAATTGCAGTCGCATATGCGTGAGATCATAACTCAGAAAGAATGATGCATCCTGACTCCACTTCAGCAGTTGTGTACAGAGTCTGTGGGGAGACAAACAATTTCACGGTAGACCCATTTCGTAACGAAATTGGAAATTTTGCTCAGTCGCAGGTTCCAGTCCTTTCAGATTTTCTGCAGTGGCTGACCTTTACTGAGATGATGTATGTTGAAAAAAAAGTGAAGGCAGGTTGCAACATTCTATCCAATAATTCAGTGCAACATTTCATTTCTTTTCTAGTTTACCATTAGTTTCAATCTTCACTGTTCCATCAGACTAAGTGTGGTTGCAAGCCTACTGAAGCATGACAAAATGTTATTGCCTTGATTTTCATTTTAGTTTGTCTGACAACCACCTGTCAGATGTAAATTTGGAATTTGGCATGCTTGGCCTCTTTTCAACCTGTGAGCATGATATCAGATACAATACACATTGTAAAACTACCCATGGAACTATGGGGCTCATAGAACATGTCAGAGAGGTGGAATTGTGCGATCCCTCAATTTCAGTATGGTTTATTGCACAATTTGTTTATCATTCTACTGTCCACCAATCATATTTTCCTTCTAACTTCTTGGTTGTGAAAGATTGTTGTAAAAAGGAATCTGGTTTCATTCAACAGCTCAAGGTGACGGTCCCATCCATTGCCAGTACCTGAGTGAGACTGACCAAGTGTTTATGACTGATGGCCGGGCCGTGGGACTGAGGAAGGACCTGAGTGGCGTCTTGCTCCTGGACTCTGCCCTACAAACAGCTGTCACCAACAGTGAGGAGACTATAGTGATTGAGCTGCCTTACCTAGAGGTTGGTAGTAACAGTATAGATGCTAATAACCATGCATACAATACTTCATACATGTATGTGCATGGGAAACATTACCTCAAAGCTTTTACCTGGGAATGCTCCTTAAAAAAATTACCGTAATTTGTAACATGTCAGGTAGTGCTGAAGCCAAACCACCAAACTGAACCAAAAATCATCAAACATGGCACTTTTGAACCGAACCAAAGCTCTAAACTAAGACCTTTTTGCTTAACACCTTCCTGGGTCCTTCAAGATTTTCTGCTTTGTAAGAAGAAACTACTGGCCAAGCTCTGCTTAAAGGAATAGCTGCTAGATTCTTAAACCTAATCTTACAAAATTCTCCAAACCTCCTTGTGGATGTTTAACCATAACAGTCCTGAATCCTCCGGGTTCAAAAGAAATCTTTCAAACACCCAGGGTTAAGATGCTCAACAAGGGTTGGGGTTATTGAAAAAGTTGAACACAAGTTCAACTAGAATTTCAAAAGCACATCGTAAAATCGTCACTTTAAATTTAGCTGCATGTAGTATAAAGCAACAGCTATCTTTGATGGCAAAGCCATACTATTAAAGACTGTTGAATCAAAGACAGTTAAGATTAAGGCTTATACACTGATCCGTGTTACCATGCCTTGTAAGGTACAGATCCTTGTGTTAGTTTATGTCACTCACTAGAGATCACTGTGAGTGTGTTTGCTGCACTCGCTTTCCAGGCAAGGTAAAGTTCATCTTCAGAAGCTGCATATATAAATGCAGCATGAGAAACAAGTGTAAAGCAGACGTAAAGGCAAGAACATACTGTAGCTTTATGAGATGCAAAGGTTTGCAGAATGTCAACATGTACAATTGCCCATGTACATGTACACATAATATACATCTATGTCATGAGTGTCATTTATACATGTATGTTAACAGCATCAACAGTGAATGTGGCCTGGTCACCTGAACATTTAACACAGTAGGATGCAGACTAATTGGTAAGGGATGAATGCTAAAGAGTCATCAACCCAAACAAATAGATCTGTGAAGGAAAACATTTTTCTGGGGTGGAGGTCTTCCAACATTAGTGCCTCAATAAGATATCTTGTAATTGATGTACTGTTGGCGACTGTTCTTGGGAATGATAAGTATTCCTACTGAGGTGATTTGAGATGAACAGTTCAAATGCACTTTTCAAGTGCAAGAACGGGTAAACTTCAGCAGGCCTTGGCAGCAGCCTAGCAGTGGTTTGTTAATCTCTATTTGTTGGTTATCAGTGTAATTGTCATTGGTTCGTTCTAGGCGTGCCACCTTCTGGAATGTCTGAAAAAGTCCCTCAAGCCCGCCTCCAGTCAGCAGGAGTACGTGGACGAGGTGCAGTCCAGGCTGGAGTCAGAGCTTAGTCTCGTTGGCAACTCTGTTAAAACTGAGTCTCACCACAAGGTCACCAAAGTGAGTTAATCATCCCCTCCCCCCCGGCATACGGTGGCATACATGTACACATACTTTTATGTCCCCTCCCTAATCCACTTTAGCACTTTTTTCTTAACCTCCAAAGAGCCAGGCTTTTCAGACCTTCTCACAGCCTGTTGGGAAGAGGGCAGATTGCACTCTCCCCTCCACCAAGTCTGGGCTATCCCATCACCAGTCGTTTACATCTGCTACAAGTTAAATTTTAACTTAATTTTGCATAGGATTTGGCTGACATGGTCAATTACAGTTCTTGTGTGGCAGCTCATACCTTAGCACATGTCAGTTTGAAAAGTTAATACTTCTAGCTGAATTGTCTGGGAAAAAAGGACATTTTTTAAAGAATGAATGACATCTGAGTTTTGGAAAAATGGTAGTCAAAAAGACCACAAAATGTATTAACCCTAACTCCCCAGGGTGATTTACTAGGAACCATACCCATTCTCACAAATTCCAACACCCTATGGTAAACTGTGCACAAAAACTGTTGGACTCTGTTTATTTTGGGTATGCCTGAACCCATGTTAAAGCACAAGCAGTTTTGGGGTACATTACCCAGAGCCACAAATTCACACACTTTACTGGTGTTCAATTCTGTGTGGTTAGGGAAGGTTAGAGTTAAAGTCTTGAAAGTTCGGCAGTATAAAAAATCCAGCATGGTGATGTTGGAGAAAAGTGTGGAAGCTTCTCTTTCATGGTTAAACAGGCATATATTTTCCTATTTTGATAGAAGTGCAGATTTTTGCTCTTTTCCTTTTTGAAACATTTCCATCATTCTGCTTTTGGAAGTCTGCAGGAAACCTTTTCTTGTTTTGTCTTCAGGGTTAGATGCCATGCTTTGTTAAATTAAGACTGTTGACATAATCTCCTGAGTTTTACTTGCATTAAGAAAAGTGTGGGTTCCATGCTGGCTATCGAAAACTGAAAACTCTGACCGCCATTTTCCGTGCAGTGGGCCACCATCCAGCTCCGGGTCTCGCTGTGCGCCTTACGCTCTGTCTGCCGCAGTCTCCTGGACGAGCTGCGTCGCTCCAATCAGCATGTCACTGGCCTGTCCATTGCTGCGGCCATTGCTGACCGGTTGCAGGCCCTGTATCCTGAATCTGGCCGCAGCACTGTGGGCACCCAGACGGTGGACAGGGCTCAGATGTACAGCGAAGCAGCCAGAAGGGAAACCTTCCTGACATGGCCTCACATGAACTACAAGTAAGTGTCCTCTTATCGTAATATTCCTCAGACGGACGGACAATAAAGCTTGATATTTACGTACATATTCTAGTGAACTATGCCTGACTCTTAACTTTGGAAGTTTTTTCTGTTTATATTCACAGGTGGGCACTACCAGAACCTATGGCACAGGCTGGGTTCTACCATCAGGTAGGCATAAAACATCACTCAAGTTTTGCATTTTAAGTATTGCATTATCGATCCTTTTATGTTTTTTAGTTATTTTGAAATGTTCCAAATAGAGTTCATTTGAGGGTGCTTCAGAGAATAGTAAGGACCATTGTTCGCTTAGAAGAGGAGCAAAAAAATCATCTCAACCTTTTTAGAGTGGATACCGACTCCCCCTGGTCAGACATTGCCGAGTTTGCTCTGTGCAGAGAATTATTTGTACCTAGGAGTAGTATACTTTTGGTGTGAAAACACTGCAAGCGTGTACAGGTTCATGCATGTTTGGCACGGTACATGCTGAGCAAGTGCGACCACTGTCTGTGGAAATATACAGTCTTTGGACCTGTTTCATGGGTGGATCTGGATCGCAATCAGTGATCCAGCGTTGCCATCAGCATCAAACACAAAGGGCACCAAAATAACCTTTGAATTAGTAACATAACAATTGAAAGTGACGCTGATTGAGATGCAAGTATTCAATTTCATTAGCGTATTCACCATTGCATTGGATTAATCCTTCAAAAAGTATTCTTCGTGTGAGTATATTGTCAACAATTAAAATCCATTTATCACCTGTGTTTCAAATGTGTGTAAAAATCGTTGCGTGGAATTTGAGAATCGGACTTTGCTTTTTTGTGCTGCAAACAGATCGAGGGTAGCCAATGTAAGAGTTGACAAGCTTATTTGCATACTCAGTTTTTCATCTCGCTTTATTTCTTTGTTTTCTATTTTTATGTGATTTTTCTCCAGCCAAGTGGAGCCGGTGATGACCGAGCCATGTGTTTTACATGTAGTGTGTGTCTAGTCTGCTGGGAACCAACCGACGAGCCATGGTGAGATACCTGTATTGGTAGTGGAGAGAATGTCAGTGATACTTGACATTTGGGGGAAGGGGGGTTGATTTTCACACTGAACTGCTCGACCATGTCCAATTATTTTGATCTTGGTGTTTTGCAGGTCCTGACCATACAAGTCTTTTCTGTTATATTTTGGCTGCCGAATAACACAGGCAACCCCCTGCCTCAAAAACATTAGTTGTACAAATTGAAGGTTTTGAGCAACACCTGTGCATGTCCATCGTTCATGAGTTTTCATCTTGTTTGAAGTTTTGTGTTCAAACAGATGTAATTTTTCAATTCATCCAGTGTAATAGAAGAGAGACTGGCATCTGCAATGCTGTTGTTTATGTAGGAAGAGCTGTGGAGATCTTGCAGAGCAGGCTTCTGTACATTTTAAGAACAGCTGCATGGGTTGGCTTACGGCTTTGCAAACGAAATTCAAACCAAGCATTTCTAAGGAGTCTCTTTGAGGGCATAGGTGTGCATGTTTTGTACAGTTTTTTTGCCGTTACAAGTAGTGCAGAAGAATGTCAGGGTGGAGATGAACAATAACAGGGCATTCAGAGTTGTTTTTAAGCTAATCCAACCCATATCTATCAAAATCCCACACTTAATTTCATTTCAGACAGGATTCAGACAGTTCAGCAACCATCATTTAACATACCTGTACATGCATCTGCTAAGAGTGAACAAAGGAACACTGCTCAGTTTGGATTTTTGTGGAGCCAGGGTACTTTTTAATGAAAATAGTATCTGAAAGCTACTGTTTAAATAACCAATGCATTCAGGTGTTCAGATGAGGCATCTTTGGTGTCACAATCACTGTGATTTAATTCACAAGAGTTGCACTTGTTGAAAGCACAGCCCACTTCCTGAGTGAAGATGCTGCGGAGTGCACGTCTCACCCTACAATGCTGTTCTCTTTTTCTCTTGACCAGGTCAGAGCATGAGAGACATTCCCCTAATTGCCCTTTTGTTCGCGGTGAACCAACTGAGAACGTTCCCTTTTCCTTTACGCTAGCCACAGGACCTGCCCAGCTGCATGGAGATGGTAGTCAGAAGGTGGGCCTGTCAAATATGAAATTTCACTTGTTGAATTTCTTATCAGTTNGTGCCAATTTCAATGCCATAAAATCTTAAATGAATATAGATTTGAAGCATCACAACTGCTTGTTCCTATCAGTAAATCTTGTGACTTACCTTTCAGACAGTTTTTCCTAACGGTGAGCACTGCCATCATAAAAAAAAGTCTGTTCCAGTACGGAAGAAGACTCATTTTGAAAACAAATCACGGAAATGTATGTGTCTCGTTGCACTACAAGAAGAGTCTGCCTTATTAAGCCTTCACACTATACAGTTACGTCCCAGTAACAGCTTTTAATCATTGAAAGGAATCTCAGGTTTGGAAGGAAAAGGCTTTTGTTAACCGTAACCCTACATAATACTACCAATTACTATATGTACTTGTAGTAAAATGTAGTAATCAGTGCTGCCGCTTGTAAGTGGACATGACCGCATTGTTCTCTGAAGCCATAAAATACAATAGAAAAGACAATGTACCATACAGTGCTGTGGCACTATGAATGCATGGCTTTATTGTTCTCTGTACAAGTAACAATGCAAGTAACCTAGCCAGAAGTAGTAATTTGTAGCGCTAGGTCTTTCAGGCTCAGGCTACTACTTAGTATTTTGTAGTACTGAGTACTGTAAGCCAAACAATGTGCTTGGCGGTTCGGGTTAATGCTGAAGTATGCGAAGAAAGGACTCCAACTTGAGTTCAAGTCCTTTCATATTTAGTGTTCTGCATAATGGTGTGTCTGCAAGGCAGAACTCAACCACAGAATAGCGTTCTAGATATTTTCCCTGATCTAACAACATTACACTACTGGGTAGATATTTGTACAAATGAGATGAGAATGAGTACATAACCCTTTATAGCCTTTTTTGATTAAAGGTAAAATGGGGGGAGGGGTTTGTTAAACTCCGCCCCCCTTATTAATGTCTCGTGAGATCCCTTGTTAGAAATTTAAACCAAGTGCATGTTCTACTTATAGGTAAAACTTTGCCTTGTTGGGGAAAAATTAAAAATTTTGTTATTCACAGGTTGTGTACCACAGTTATTGCTCTTAAATATGATTAACGCATAAATATTACATCAATACCATAACAATGTGCACGTTTACAGCTTGGCAACAGTCATATTTGGATTCAGCACACTTGAAACCCCCGTATATGAACTTTTATGTGGTCCGGTGGTGGGGCCCACGGATCTTTAAAAAAAAGCCTCGTTTCCCTTGTCATCCTATGGTCGAGTACTTGTACATGGAAGATGCTCTTTTAAGTTGTCTCCTGACGACGGACNATGCCAATTTCAATGCCATAAAATCTTAAATGAATATAGATTTGAAGCATCACAACTGCTTGTTCCTATCAGTAAATCTTGTGACTTACCTTTCAGACAGTTTTTCCTAACGGTGAGCACTACCATCTTAAAAAAAAGTCTGTTCCAGTACGGAAGAAGACTCATTTTGAAAACAAATCACGGAAATATATGTGTCTCGTTGCACTACAAGAAGAGTCTGCCTTATTAAGCCTTCACACTATACAGTTACATCCCAGTAACAGCTTTTAATCATTGAAAGGAATCTCAGGTTTGGAAGGAAAAGGCTTTTGTTAACCGTAACCCTACATAATACTACCAATTACTATATGCACTTGTCGTGAAATGTATTAATCAGTGTTGCCGCTTGTAAGTGGACATGACCGCATTGTTCTCTGAAGCCATAAAATACAGTAGAAAAGACAATGTACCATACAGTGCTGTGGCACTATGAATGGGCTTTATTGTTCTCTGTACAAGTAACAATGCAAGTAACCTAGCCAGAAGTAGTAATTTGTAGCGCTAGGTCCTTCAGGCTCGGGCTACTACTTAGTATTTTGTAGTACTGAGTACTGTAAGCCAAACAATATGCTTGGCGGTTCGGGTTAATGCTGAAGCATGTGAAGAGAGGGCTCCAACTTGAGTTCAAGTCCTTTTATATTTAGTGTTCTGCATAATGGTGTGTCTGCAAGGCAGAACTCAACCACAGTATAGCGTTCTAGATGGGAAATGTACATTGTAGGTTATGTTCCCTGATCTAACAACATTACACTACTGGGTAGATATTTGTACAAATGAGATGAGAATGAGCACATAACCCTTCAAAGCTTTTTGGATTAAAGGTAAAATGGGGGAAGAGGTTTGTTAAACTCCGCCCCCCTTATTACTGTCTCGTGAGATCCCTTGTTAGAAGTTTAAACCAAGTGCATGTTCTACGTATAGGTAAAACTTTGCCTTGTTGGGGAAAAATTAAAAATTTTGTTATTCACAGGTTGTGTACCACAGTTATTGCTCTTAAATATGATTAACGCATAAATATTCCATCAATACCATAACAATGTGCACGTTTACAGCTTGGCAACAGTCATATTTGGATTCAGCACACTTGAAACCCCCGTATATGAACTTTTATGTGGTCCGGTGGACATAAAAAAAAGCCTCTTTTCCCTTGTCATCCTATGGTCGAGTACTCGTACATGGAAGATGCTCTTTTAAGTTCTTCCTCTTACAGATTACCTGTGTTGGCACTTCCTCTTGCCCGCATCTGATGGTCACATCCAGTCGCCATGGCAATGTCAGTCTCTGGGATGTGGCCAATCAGCTGACACTGATCTCGAACTTTCAAATTGATCCGGATGACCCCGCTTTGACAGGCAAGGCGGCAGATTCAGAGGAGGCCGTTGACAGGAGGCCACGGACAAAGATACCCGAGGCATGGGTGGAGGAGACCAGTCTGACGGAAATCAAAGGAAATACAAAGGAGGATGAAAAGTTAGTAGTCAAGATGCCAGACAGAAATATCAAGCACAAAACCCGATCATTGACAAATCAAGAGGTGGACATTAATGAACCTAAGGAACCATTTTTTTGCCAAAAACATTTCAGACTTAAGGAGACAAATAACCTTTTCACATCATACTTGAATTTTGTCAGCGATTTGGTCAGTTTGTGATGCTAATGTACCTCAGCCATTTTTACCTCAAAAAGTGACAATGATTGGAAAATGAGCAAAGACCAGTTTTTTCAATGACTTCAATCTAGTTGTCAGTGTCCCTTTGTGTTCTTTGTATAAATTTCACGAGGCCAGTTTTGGAATTTGACATGGTTTTTGTGGTTGCCAAGCAGTGCCAATCTAAGCAAATGCAGCCAGAGTGTGTCTGGAGAAGACGAGGAACAAGACCAAGATCAGGCTCCCCAGGCTGCAGTCTCACTCCATCAAGAGATAGCAGCCAAAGGTACGTTGAGCACGCAATTCTTGTGAGTCAAGAAGCAAGTGTCTAATTACTACATCAGAGTCCAAACTCTGGTGTACTGTTCATCAATAAGGTTTAAATGACCCTATTATCAACTCCGTGTGCAAGTTTTACTGTTTTTCCTAATTTGTTCACAGACTGTGTTTGAATATTTTTCAACTCTGCTCAAGTGTCTCCAGTTGAGAAGCTAAAATTAATTATATTTTATTGAAAGTGTTGTGGATTTAAGGAAACAATAGAGATGACTTGATGTTCATAGAACTGGTGCCTTGTGAAACAGACTATATAAATGCTCACATTTCAAATGCTTTAGAATACTACAGGCGCTGAATATAAATGTTCCTTGACTCCTTCGTAATACTGTTCCCAGCTTCTAGAATGTCAGGAAACGGCTGTTGTTATTTACTAACTGCAAAATTAACTTATGATCTGAAACGGAAATTTTTTTTTTCTTGAACTGCAGAGAAGAGCTACGGCACCATTGAGGTGATCGAGGTAGGTGGAGCGTGGCGAAACATCAGTGAGTCCCAACCAAGCCCCGGCATCGAAGAAGCTGCTGTCATGCCTGAACCCAAAGGTAGGCCTCATTGCATATTAAATTTCTGGTGATGAGGATTGTAAAATGTTTAGTGTGGTAACCACTCAGTGTACAAGGAATTTGTTCCAGGTGTGCCATTTTTTAGGGGGGGACCAAAAAATTTCTTCCTTTTTTTTAAGACAGCAAGGTGCCTCAACCACAGTCCTTTTACAAATGCTGACCCTTTGGGGTCATTTGTTTCAGATTTGCGTAACATTTGTTACCATGTGTTCACTGTTCAAAACTCAGAGACAGTGTGCTCAGTGATAATTGTTATAGCAGTATTTGGGTTCCAGACACACTCAGCCTACACAGACAACGGGCCTGTTTGTTTCACACCGCACCGGATCTCGATCAGTGATCCCGTGGCTGGTTCGCTTTATCCATCAGACTGGTTCTGGTGTCAAAGAACCAATGATGGATCACTGAAAGCGATCCAGATCTGCACAAAACAAACGGGCCATTGTTCTGGCCGCTGTTTGGGTACAAAAGTCAGGGAGAACTATCCCAAGCTAAGGGATGAGGAGAGACATTCAGCATTGCATGCAGAATTTGCTAAGACTTATTTATATGCCTTATTTATATCGGAACCCTTAGGTCTCAGGAGAGTAATTTCATACTTCTAAGAAGGAATCTGCAGGTGAAGAGAGACTGCTGTCTTTTAAAGCGACCATACAGAATAGTTCTGAGTTGAGAGATTTTCTGCCTTTTGTTCTTTGCATAGGAAACCCCAAATCTTCCACCAAGCTCATTGTGTCGGCCCTGGGCATCCTTCAAGGTCTGCCCAAGGAGCCGTCCGCCAGCTCCTCGCACTCGAATGCTCCCAGCAGTGACGATCTTCTCAGCATCCCCTGCCTAGTAGCAGCGCTCAGTATACGGAAACCAAACAAGACAGATCACGCGGACAGCATCAAGACAATTCCTGCGGAGGACTGCAGAGATGACCAATCCCTGGCAGCCATGGCTTCTCGGGGTAGTAATCCATTCACTTCGGCATTTGAGAAGATCCGCATTGCCGAAGACACAGGACCAATAGATGAAGCAGGCCTAGGTGTGGATATTTCAAACAGAAAATTTGAATTTGCTGACGCCTACCTAGGGGACGAAGTGGATGCCGGGGATGTTGGAAAAGCCAGCGAAACAGACTCAGGTTCTCGGCATCGAAAGTGTTTAATCATCTACGCTGCACCGCCATTAGTTAAAAATATCGCTGTTCACAAGAAGAGTACTGATAAATCCAAAGGGGCTTTCAGCATGCAAGCTGGGCAGTCAACTCTGCAAAAGATGTATATGTCGCAGATTCTTGAAATGGAAGAAGAGCAACAAGCACTAGTTGAGGAGCCCATGGGCATTGAGGAACTCACTGCCGACCAAACATCAAGCTTAACACTTGTCGACGGTGTGCATGCAAAAACCTTTAGGACCAGCGAGGTTGCCCTGCAGTGTATAGAACTGCCGGCGTGCACTCAGTGTGACGATTTGTGGGTGACCTCGGTGGCTTCCTGCCCTGACAAGAAACATGTACTGGTGGTGGTGGGACCGCATGACGGACAATTAGGCAACGCTGAAATGGTAGCCAAATCACAGTGCAATACTTTAGCAACAGAGAAAGTATGTGAGAAGCAGAATGACCTGAACAAGGAAAGCAACTGCAGTACTGATGAGGCGGGTACAGGATTGGGCATTGACAGTGCTGGCTCTTTTGACCCCAGCGTGAGGCAGGTGACGTCCGAAGCTGGGTGCGATCCTGTCGAGTTCGGCTTCAACCAAGCCAGCTTTGTACTGATTTATCAAATCAAGACTCAGGATGGTGCGACGGTGCTACAGCAAGACCCGGTCGCAGTCCATAGGATTAACTCCTCTGACGAGATTATCAAGTCCCTGGTTCCCTTACCGGTGGACCTGTGCGACGTCGCCAGCGACGAAGAGGGCGAGCCCTCGCTCCAGGACCCTTCATCATCCGAGGCCATGCCCAACTCAGACATGGGATCCATAACCGCCGAACTAGCAGCACTAAGTTTGGACGAACCAGATGCCAAATCTCCCAACAAGCAGCTTGGGACATGCGCCTTGCTCACAAGAAGCGGCACCCTTCGAATCATGGATATATCAACCTGGTCTATCTTGGCCACCTACCCTACCCCACAGAAACACCCTCAGTCCACTGGAAGTGACCGATTCATCACACTAACGTACTGCACTGGCATGGAGAGGCTATGTGTGTATACGGAATCAGGACACGTTCTGTTCATACAGCTGCAGGCCAAAAAGACCCATGGAGTTGGAGGCCGTGGGAAGACAGTCAAGAAGCCTACCCCTGAACAGGAGGTAGCTGCTGAGGAAGAGACAGATGCTCCAGAAGAGAAACAAGGTCAATATGAAATATGTACTTATGTGTGTTAAATTTGAATAAAATGCAGTACATTGAGTTATCTGAATGCACATAGAGGCTCTGCATGGCAGCCATCTTTCCAGTGACTGCTTTTGACAAGGTGGGATAGTACAAAAGGTCTACTCTCTGTGTCTCTATGGAACAAAAGCTCTTACTGGAAAAAATGGCTAACATGCAGAACCTCTAGTGCAAATACAGTATGCTGTTACATCTTCACAATTCTGGATCAGCCACAAAAGCATTTTTGCTCAAAAACGATATAGAACACCTCAAGAGAACTACTCCTAGTATTTTTTGGAAGGGTATTTGGATTTGATTGGGGATGGTTGAACGGTTCAGTATGTTCAGATTAGAGATGGCATATACACGTTTGTACATTGTACAAGTAAATATAAATATGTCTGGTTTACATGTACACCTACAGGTAATCGCATCATGCATGTGTTTGTGTGTGCACATTCCACATTGATGCTGTCCTGTCTAATAATTCCATGGAAAGTATTATTTTGTACAGGAAATAAGCTTGTGGCAGTGACAACTTAATACCGGTGCATGTACACAACCACTACATGAGGAAGTAGCCTCATTATTGTGAATGTCAACGTGTTTCTAATGAGGACTGATTTTTGTGAGAAATTACATGTGCATGGTCATGCATGTGGGTCTGAGTATTGATTTGCTGTTTTGGGCAGCTTGATGGGTTTTCAAAGCACAGTGAGCCAATGTGGTAGTCTATTTTCATGTCTTGACAAAAGGGAGGGTATCCGCCCCCTGAATGGGACCCACAGAAGACGCAACTCCCCTAGCAAATGAGGCTCCTGTGGTGGGAACTGCACTTTGCTGGTGTGCACACAACGATGAAATGAATACGCTGTGGTTACGTCACTACCACAGAATGAACACTTCCCACCAACATGGCTCTTTTCAACTGATGAGGGTGGTTGCTTCTGCTGAAGGCAGATGTAGTTTGGGATCAGATTTGAGATCATTTGGATTCTGTTGTTGGGCAGTTGTCAGGTTAACAGGAAAATAATGCCTTTGGTTGGTAGGAGGATATTGAGTCTATGAAGGGCTGCCAAGTCTGACTTGTCCCGTTTCAACTGCAATGTTTACACCCTGATTTGGGATTGCTGCATTTTCGTGGTTTCTGAGTAGTTCTGTGGGATTTTCAAGAAGTGTTTGAGGAATACTTTAGTTGAATGTACATTTGCATGTACAGTAAATGAACACACAGCTCTGGAAACAGGTAATCAACTTTATTGTTACACTTGTTTTGAAAAAAAAAACCTTTTTGGAAGGTGTGGGGGGAATCATCATTATTCAGAATTTCATCGTCAGATTTGTGAGAGTGATATCTATTTCAGGCTAAAAAACATTGTTTTGATCCTTCAAAATTTATAGCTCCGTGAAACCATCAGACTAGACTGTGGAGTCCCTAACCCAGTAACTATGCAGGCCAAATCAGCAGTGACTGTCCTCTGAATGATATCGTGAGTTTTACAGATAATATGATTTTGTCAGCTTGATTGTGTTGGTGATTCTCAACTTTCCAGTTGGGGATGAGTTCCTGGCCAACCAGCCCATTTCCATGAAGAACCTCAGCATACTGTGGCAGCTGACCCAGTTTGAGACCCTGGTGCCACGGTTCTCGGCCACCGTGCCTCCTTGCTGGGTGGAGATCCAGCAAGAACAGCAGCAACGACGCCACCCACAGCACCTGCACCAGCGGCAGCAGGGTGACGCCACGCAGCACACACGTACCTGGAAACTGCAGCCCGACAGGTAGAAAAAAACTCTGGTAGTTTGATGTCCTTTTAAAGGCTTAAGAAAAGACTTGGAGCTGACGGAGGCAATTTCTGAGGTCTTTTTCTTTGCGTATTCTGCATGGCCTTTCAAAGCATGATGTTAGAGGATTTAGGAGAGCATTGTCTAGATAGGAAATACACTGATTTAGCTCTAACCTGAGGTATTGTTTTTTACCAGTATTCCCAGATCTTCCAAAATCGTACATTACATTGTGTAGGAACATGTCTTGCATGTTAACATTTCAAGGAGAGTCAAGCCCAGATAATAGCAGTCAGATTGTACCTACAAAAATCCTTCAAAAGCCTTCAAAAGCCACCAGATCCCACCAGTGGATTGTAAAGATCCAGGGGGTAAGGGTGAAAGAGGAGGGATGCAATATCAAGAGAAGTTACCACAGACTCTTCTCTCTGACTGCAGTTCAAGTTGGAAGGAGCACCTGTTTGAGCTTGTCCTGCCTAAATCCTGCTGTGTAGGCCATGTGGATGTCAAGTTCAGCCTGCATGCCAGCTGTCCCTCTGCTCCCCGGATCTATCTGACCCTACTCAAGCAGAGCGGCACCCAGTGCAAGAAGGGCAAAGGTAGGACCTTGGCACCTTTTTGTTTTGTTCAAAATGCATCGCAAGTATCCCCTGCAGTTCATTTAATTTTGTGTCATGTGAAGATAAGTTCACACTCGACGTGAAAGCAAACACAAGCATGTATTTAGGATGGATCAAGTGTGTGCACTGCGAATATACAGGAATGGAACACATGTCAACTCTAACAAAGCAAGATGTAAATGATTCTGTGTCTTTCTTTTTTTTTGACAAGTAAAAGTTGTAATCCTTGCACAAACCAGAGAAAAGCATTAAAACACCCAACTTTAGTCTCACATTATTGACAAAGATCTCAATGTATATTTGAAGTAATAGTATCCAACAGTCACACTGTAACCTCAACCTCAGTTCAGATTGAAATATTTCTATCTAGCTTGTTCTTAAATAGAAATGACTTGAATGCATTACATATGAGGACATAGACTTTGTGCAGAGTGGTTGCTACATTTGCTGTAGTTTTGTGTGACATGTAGCAAATAGGCTAGTGTTGGAAGTTATCGTAACATACCAAAGTCAACTACGTATCTTTGGATTTCCAATTTGTGCCTTCGAAACTCAAGCTACTCCTTACAGAATTTCATACTAGTAGTTTGCCTCTACAAACTCTCCAAAATTTCCTTCACAGGTTATCAAGAGACTCTGTAGTTAATATCTGATATATGCTTAAATTTTCTTACCATTTGAGCAGAGAAAGATTCCATGAACATCAAGTCCCCTGCCGTTGATGCAAAGATAGACTTCAACATGGAGTCATCCACCTCTGAGCCCAAAGTGCAGAATGTGGACATGGACTTTGGCAACCCCCCGCCTGTGCCCGGAACCTGCAGATCAGACCCCGAAGCATTCTACGGAGATGCCGTGACCCAGTCAGCCTACCTGCAGAGCCACCTGGAAGACATCCTGTGCGGTCCCTGTTACATGGAATGCTTCGTGGACATGCCCAGTCACTACGGCACCGTCACCTTGACCAGTCGCCAGCTGATGCTGTGCAAGAGCAGGTCTTTCCTCTTGCACATTTTTGCATTGGACACCACCGAGAACGAGGCCAACTCAAAGACCAAGGAATCTGGTAAAGAGAAAGGTATGTCTTCACTCCTGCTGATGAACGAAGAATGAATATTTATGAGTTCAGAGGTAAGAATAATTTCGTGAGGTGACAAATTGAATGTTCCATTCCATAGGGTATAGACAAGTGGAATGGAACGTTCAGACTTTCACCAACTGAAATTATTATTTCCACTGCATGAATGACAAACATTCATTATACAATGCCTGCATAAATCCTCTT